AGAAAAAGAGATACTAGTTCAAGAGAGGTCGGTTGCAGCTGCAAAGGATGCTGCTGTTCTTGCATTTCTGCAGAAGTTTTCAGAACAATCAGGCACAATGCAATTTCCAGAGCAAGCATTTTCAGTGCATTTCCCAGCGCAACCACCATCATCAATGCAATTTCCAGAGCAACCATCCCCAGTGCAACTTCCGTTGCAACCACCATCAGGACAATTTCCAGAGCAATCAACCCCAGTGCAATTGCCTGTTAACTCACAAGCCGACACACTTATGGACAAGCAAGAAAAGACAAATTATGCAAATGTTGTGCATATGAGTTTGGATAATCAAGAAAGGAATAATGGTAGACGTTATATGCATATGAGCTCTTCACGGTGGCCTAAAGAGGAAGTTGAAGCTTTGATTAAGATCAGAGCTGATTTTGATTTGCAGTATCAAGAAAGTGGACCTAAAGGGCCTCTGTGGGAGGAGATTTCAGCAGCCATGGAAAAACTTGGTTATGACCGGAGCTCCAAGAGGTGCAAAGAGAAGTGGGAGAACATAAACAAATACTATAGAAGAATAAAAGAAAGCAACAAAAAAAGGCCTGAGGATTCAAAGACATGTGGTTATGTTCGCCTGCTCGATGCTTTGCACAATAAGAAGACTAATAGCGTTGAGAGTCAAGTTAACTCTACTTATGAATTGAAGCCTGAGGAGCTATTGATGCATATGATGGGTGGGCAAGCAGAGCAGCATCAGCCGGAAACAGTGACTGAGGACGGTGATAGCGAGAATGTTGATCAGATTCAAGGAGATGATGAAAATGCAGATGGAGATGGATATCAAATTGCATCCGGTAATCCTTCTTCAATGGCAATTATGAGCTGAGGTTCACAACATAAGAAGTCCTTCCTGAAAGCTTAAGTTGGTGTGCGTAATGTTAGAAGTGAGTCGGGGAATGTTGTGGCTACGGCAGCGTTGTGGGTTAGATTTTGGTTTTGAGAACTTTGTTTTAGTGTTGGTGTAACATGGTGTCTACAAGCATATCTTTAGGTTTATCATATGTTGAATCATGAGAGAGGGAGAGAGAAAGAGAGAGAGAGAGAGAGAGAGAGAGGTGGGGTTTGTAAATTAGTATGGCTTTGGTCCTGTTCAATCCCCATGTTTGCAGAAGTTGGAAATGGTTGGTTTGATTTGAATTAATAAAGACCTGCATCAGTGGTCCTGTTACAATGAAAAGCTCCATTTCTCTTTTAAATCTAAGAAAGTGGTTATTATATCACTCGTGGGCAATCAATCTATTCAACTTCAAGCAATCGCCTTGCCATTATATCACCTGTTGTCGACGCAATGACTTTGAGTATGGATTAAAATTTAATCATCCTCCTTTAAGTTTTAACTCAATCATTATTGTCCGAATTCAATCATTCTTTTTTGTTTGTCTCCCATGGATTTAAATCTAAAAATAAAATAATAACTCTCATATTAGTCAAAGTGAACAGTAGTTAGTGTTTTGCTTTGTCTTTAACAGTTGTAAGTTTTTGCTTTTGTCTTTAACAGTGGTCAGTTTTCTTACGTTTGAAGTTGGTTCTGTCTCTCTTTTTGTCCCAAAGTGTAATTTAGTAAATTTATTATGCTCGAGAGGTAAAAAAGTTGGAGTAGCTATAATCAATCATTGTTGAACTAAAGAATACAAACTAACCCTTCACGTTGACGTCATAATCTCTGCTTTTGACACTTTTTTTTAATCATGATGATTATGATTTTAATATTAAGACTTCCAACCCAAAATGAGTTCGAAATAAAGAATTAAAGAATTAACATAATTTTTGGAGATGTAAGACCGAAGGCTACATAGAGCTCTTACGAGAACTTGGTTGAGACAACTTCAATATTACTTGATACTTTAATTTTTCTACTACAACTCACCCTTGATATAAAGTACATACAATGCCTATTTATAGGCCATAACATTAACTCAACATTAAACTTAATCACAATCATCATACCCACTAAACTTGCATTAACTATAATTCATAAACTAGGTAATAATAACTAAACCCTTTAGATTCGAACTCTTTATTTCCTAAACTTTTAACATTTGAAATAATCCCAACAGTCTCTCATGTAATTTCAAAGATGAATAACGTAATTGCTTTTCCCTTACTCTTCTTCAATGTCACAATGTTCACAACGTTTTCTTAGACATGGCCTTGCTCCATTATAATTTATCAAATATTGTGTCTTCTTGTGCCATCATCATACATTCCTTGTTATAGAAATATTTCATTCAATCTTCTTCATCTTGACCAGAATTTTTCATTTCTCTCTTCGTCTCGTCGTCTCTTCATTTCTCCATCTTTCTATCTCATTGTCATTGCGATGCTTCAATTCTCAATCTTTGATTGCCTTCACGCCACTCAATCCTTTGACCCAACGAGGGCTGCATTGCTCAACTGATGGACTTTTTCTAATTCTTTTATCATTCATAAGAGTCAAATCGCTCCATTTTTATTTCCTTTCTTTTTTCTTTTTCCTTCATGGAGCCAGATCCCTCCATCTTTCATGTTTCTTCAATTTGGTGCACATCTGTCCCGATTTTCAATTTTGGGAACCCTTGTCCCAATTCTTCATATGCCTTTTCTTTCTTCGGTCGGCATCATTGTCCTTAATTTATTCGGCATCCTTGTGCGTTCCTCTCTCAAGAATTCATCCACCCATCGCAAAAAAGAAAAAAAGAAAAAGCATTATTCTTGCATGCTTTCAGTAAACACGTCTCACGAATTCGAAAACATATATTCCTCTTACTTGCAACACACACAATAATCCCCTTTTTTACAAATTTACCGACAAAGTCATAGATCAAGTGGCATCATTGTGCCATCACTTCTAGGGCTCAATTTCCCATCATTCATCTATATTTTTTCAGCATCAATGTGCCATTCTCTCATTGGCATCTTTGTGCCCTTTCTTCGGCATCTTTTTCTTTTCTTCTTCTTTTATCATTCATGGAGCCCAATTGCTCCATCTTTGTTTTTCATGGAGCCAAATCGCTCCATCTTCCATGCTTCATCAATTTGGGTGCATATCTGCCCCAATTTTCAATTTTGGGAACCCTTGTCCCAATTATTTGTAGGCCTTTTCTTTCTTCGATATCATTGTGCCCTTCTTAATTCATTCGGCATCCTTGTGCCTTCCTCTCTCAAGAGTTCATCTACCCATTGCAAGAAAAAAAAAAATTGTTCTTCCATACTTTCAAATATGAAGTACGGACACAGATACGAATATGGCGATATGATACGACACGACACGAGGATACGGTTATTAAAAATATATATTAATAAATATATATATAACTTGAAACAAATTTTAAATAAAAGAATTGAAAATTATAAAAAGAGTGTAGCATTTTGGGCTTTCTTTTCTGATTCTTTATATATTTTAAGACATGTATAGCTTTTTTCACCCAAACGTATCATCACCCAAAGCCCATTTTAATACTATTGCTTAAGACCCGCACCCATAACAGATCCATGTAAAAAAAAAAAAAAAAAAAAAAAAAAACTACAAATCCTGTTTCAGCGCACAAATTCATGCTTTCTAAATACTGGCTCTCTTATTTTCAATTGAATAATGTTATGCATATTCCATTTATGGTGTGTTAACTAATCAGGAATTAGAATTCTCATCAAGAATTGAATTCCACCTATGGAGGATTCCTGCGTTTACTTCACATAAAGGAATTAAAAAGTAAGTGGGGCCCACACAAAATTAGGAATTGAATTCTTGATTTTGGAGGAATTCAATTCTTTGGTGGGAGGTGGTATTCTAATTCCTGGAGAACTAACCCATTAGGAATTCATCTTTTTTACCCATTATATCATCACACATTTTTTAAAATTCCAAATTTGCCAACTACTTTAACCCAATAACAAGGACATTTTAGTAATTAGCACCACTCCTACCCCAATTCCATATGATTTAGTAAACAACTTCATAGGAATCCAGAATCTAACTCTCCTCAATCCATATGGTTTAGTAAATAACTTCAATAGGAATCTGGAATCTAATTCTCCTCAATCCAACTCCTCCTCAATTCAATTTCCTCATAATCCAATTACGGATTAGTAAACATGCAATTAGAGCACTTCCTCTTCTCATATCTCATGGCAACCCAAGGGCGACCACTATTTACATGAGATATGAGGAGAGGATTTTTTTATGGATTTTGGTGTGGGAAGTGAAGAACATGGCTAGGTATTTATATAAAAAAAAATTATGAATTTGTTGGCATGTTTTCCTTTTTTTTCAATTTTTTTGGTATTTAAATTGGTCGTTGATGTCACGTCTTGCCCACGCAGCAGTCCAGGCAAGTCTTGCCTTTGGGCTTGCCCAATTTCATTAGCCCACTTCTTGCCATGACAATTTTTCCTCGATGGAGGTTGTTTTGGAGCCGAGTGTCACTGGATGACTTTTTCGGAGTTTTCCTTCTGTGCGGCCTTAGACTTGATCGCCTCTCGAACAAGCTAAGTCAGCCTTCCTTCCTACAAAATAAGATCGAACCAAGCAAGAACACAAAAGCAAGAGCAAGAACGATAAGAACGCACAATAGAGTTTGGGAGAATAAGTTGTGAGGTGAGGAGAACACAAAAATAAGAGCAAGAACGATAAGAACGCACAAGAGAGTTTGGGAGAATATATGCTTGTATTGCTACTCAATGCTTTACAAGTTGTGAGGTGAGGATACATAATGAGACATCCTCCTTATATAGTGATCCTATCCCACCTACCACCACAATAGAGGGCCAAGATCGACTGCTACCTAACCATCCGGAAACTACCTACTACTGTACATTGAATCTAGACATGTGGGCTAAGAGATGTAGAATGATCCATCCGACGGGCTGGGTCTTGAGCTTCTCTTATGGGGCTTGACCTTCACAAATGGATCCTCTAGGTTGGCCACATAGTTGTTGGGTTGAGCCTTCAACATGCGGGCCATGACATTCTCCCTCACCTAATTCGGTGACGTCGTCCTCGTCACCGGGGTAGTTCCTTCTCGTTCGAATGCTTCGATCTTGTCCTTGTACTGCCACAAGGACTCTTCTTTCTCCCAATTACCTTCGGACTCTGGCAGACCCTTCCATTTGACAAAGTACTCAAAGTACCTCGGTACACCTTTGCTTCGCACCTCACGCTTGTCCATGATGCACTCGACCTCCTTATCAAATGAAGTCATCATTAAAGGTGGAGCTTGTTGAGACTCCCCACGATTTGGCTCCTCGAGGTCAGCATGGCAGGGCTTGAGGTTGCTCACGTGAAACACCGGATGAATCTTCAATCGTGGCGGTTGTTCCACACGGTAAGCAGCTCTTCCCACGGTTCGGAGGATAGGAAATGGGCCTTCATATCTCCTCAGCAACGCCTTATGTACCTTTCTAGTGGACTTGTGTTGAGAGGGATTGAGCTTCACAAAGACCATATCACCTGGTTGGAACACGACATCTCGTCGATGCTTGTCTGCCCATTTCTTCATCTTCCGAGTTGTTTTCTCCAATTGAGCTTGAGCCAGCTCATTAGTCACCTGCCAATCCTTGGCCGTCTTGTATGTAGCAGGGCTACTCCCCGTGTAGCCTGACACCACTATGTTCGGTGTCATAGGTTGTTGTCCAGTTGCCAACACTTGACCCTGTCGACTCCGATCACTGCAAGTTGTATGAGAACTGAGCAATATCCAACAACTTTGCCCAATCTCATTGGTTGACACTCACATAGTACCTCAAGTATAACTCCAACAATGCATTCACCCATTTCGTCTGACCATCTGTCTGTGGGTGAAAGCTGGTAGAGAAGTTCAGTTGTGAGCCAAGTAGCCTAAAGAGCTCCGTCCAAAGTTTACCAGTGAAGCGAGTGTCACGGTCATTGATAATACTCTTGGGGATCCGCCAATACTTCACCACATGCTTTAGAAACAAGCATGCAGCTTCCTCCGCGTTGCAATCCGTTAGTGTGGGGATGAAGGTAGCATACTTGGTGAACCTGTCGACCACCACCAAAATTGAGCCATACCCTTCTGACTTAGGTAGACTCACGAACGAGTTTACATCTTTCCGCATCTGTAGCCAGTAGTAAGCTTCACTTATCAATACTAAAGTTCGATGAATTACCGGATGTCTCCTCCACTTTGAGTCGTGACACTCCTTCAGTAGCTCTCGCCTCAGATTGTCCCACCTTGGAACATAGATTCTCTTCCCTGTTGCATAGAGAACACCATCATCAAGCCAAAATCTTCTTGTCCTTCCATCCTTGACAAGCTCCAACAAACTTTTGGCTTGGGGATCATGCAACAAGCCCTCTCATGTCCTCTGCATGAGAGAACTTTGAGGTTGTACAACAGCTGTGAGTGTGGCCTTCCGGCTTAAGGCATTGGCAACGACATTCGTCTTCCCTTGCTTGTACTCCAATTTGTAGTTGAACTCCATCAAGAAGTCTTGCCACCTTGCCTGCTTGGGTGACAACTTCTGTTGGGACTGAAAGTAGCTTATGGCAACATTATCAGCCTTGACCACGAACTGAGAACCAAGTAGGTAGTGCTTCCAAGTCTGCAAGCAGTGCACTATGACTGTCATCTCCTTCTCTTGAATGGTATACCTCCGTTCAGTGTCATTGAGCTTCCTACTCTTGAAAGCCAATGGATGTCCATCCTGCATGAGTACACCACCAATAACAAAATCTGATGCATCAGTATGTACCTCAAAAGGTTTGGTAAGATCGGGTAGTCTCAGCACTAGTTCCTCCATAAGTGCCCTCTTCAACTCGTCGAAGGCATGTTGGGATAGTGGCGTCCATTGCCACGTCTTGTTCTTCTTCGGCAAATCCGTCAAGCGGGCGGCAATGGCTGAATATCCCTTGATGAACCTACGATAATAGTTGACCAATCCAAGGAAAGACCGCAGCTCAGGTATCTTGGTTGGTGGTTCCCACTCTTGAATGGCTCGCACCTTGCCCTCCTCCATGAGCAATTGTCCACCTCGTTTCTTGTAATGAGCACTTCTCCTTCTTCACATATAGCTTGTTGTCCCTCAGAATTTGGAACACCTTCTGCAAGTGCTCGAGGTGCTCCTCCAGAGAATTGTTGTACACCACAATATCGTCGATGTAAACCACAACAAACTTGTCCAAGAAAGGATGGAATACCTTGTTCATGAGAGTGCAAAAGGTTGCAGGGGCGTTAGTCAGGCCGAATGACATGACAAGGAACTTGTAAGACCCGTATCTTGTCACACATGCGGTCTTCAATTCATCTCCCGGTGCGATCCTCACTTGATAGTATCCTGAGTGCAGGTCCAGCTTGGTGAAGTACCTCGCTCCTCCCAACTGAATAAACAAATCTGCAATCAATGGGATTGGATACTTGTTTTCTATGGTCACCTTGTTTAGCGCTCAGTAGTCGATGCACAACCTCAATGTCCCTTCTTTCTTTTTCTGGAACAAGACTGGGGCACCATAAGGGGCTTTGTATGGTTGGATGTACCTAGCGTCCAGCAACTGCTTCAATTGCTTCCTCAATTCCTCCAACTCAGGAGGTGCCATCCGATACGGCGCTTTGGCAGGGGGCTTGGCACCCGATTCCAACTCAATGGCATGATCCACCTCTCTCCTAGGTGGTAAGGTGTTGGGCAGCTCCTGTGGCATGACATCTGCAAACTCCTTAATGACTGCCTCCACAGCTCTTGGGACTGGTTGGACTTCCTTCTCAACTATATCCATCTTCATAGTTTCAAGGAACGTCGGTTCACCCTTCTTCCAAGACTTGGAAAGTTGCATGGCTAACAAAAGCTTTGACTCACCTTGTTGCCTCACCACTGGCACCATGCATGGCATTGCTCCACCCTGTGCTATGCACATAGTACTGTAAAATGGAATATGAAATGCCTTTACCTTGTCCATGAACTCCATTCCTAGCACGACATCGTAGTCATCCATCGATATCACGAAGAAGTCAGCTACTCCCTTCCAAGTAGCAATGTGTTGCACCACACTATGAGCTACTCCATCAATTGGTTTGGCAGTCGAATTCACCGTCTTCATACTGCTTGCTTCCTTCAAGACTCGACGCCCAAGTCTCTTTGCTTCCTACACTGACATAAAGTTGTGCGAGGCACCCGTATCCACCGGACAACGGGTTGTCTTGCCATTCACCATGGCGTCGACGAACATCATGATAGGACCCGACCCAAATTCCACTTTGGAATCTGAGCCGAACCCTGTGTGTGTCCAACACCTGGCGGGTGCCGGGCACATATTGTAACATCCCACATCGACCAATGGAGAGGGGGTGATGTGCCTTATATGTACATGCCCACCTCCATCTAGCATGAGGCCTTTTGGGAGCTCACTGGCTTCGAAGTCATGGGAACTTCAAAGTTAAGCGAGTTGGGGCTAGAGCAATCCCAAGATGGGTGACCCACTGGGAAGTTGCTCACGAGTTCCCAAAAACAAAACCGTGAGGGCATAGAGGGGGGCCTAAAACGGATAATATCGTGCTATGGTGGAGTCGATTCCGAGATGTGACTGAATGGTATCAGAGCCACTCTGTCATGTGGCGCGAGTGTGCCGATGAGGACGTTGGGCACCTAAGGGGGGTGGATTGTAAGATCCCACATCGACCAACGGAGAGGAGGTGATGTGCCTTATATGTACATGACCACCTCCATCTAGCACGAGACCTTTTGGGAGCTTACTGGCTTCGGAGTCATGGGAGAGTTGGGGCTAGAGCAATCTCAGGATGGGTGACCCACTGGGAAGTTGCTCGTGAGTTCCCAGAAACAAAACCGTGAGGGCAGAGAGGGGGGCCTAAAGTGGATAATATCGTTCTACGGCAGAGCGATCCTGAATGTGACAATTTGGTATCAGAGCCACTCTGCTGTGTGGTGCGAGTGTGTCGACGAGGACGTAGGGCCCCTAAGGGGGGTGAATTGTAACATTCCACATCGACTAATGGAGAAGGGGTGATGTGCCTTATATGTACATGCCCACCTCCATCTAGCACGAGACCTTTTGGGAGCTCACTGCCTTCGGAGTCATGAGAACTTCGAAGTTAAGCGAGTTGGGGCTAGAGCAATCCCAGGATGGGTGACCCACTGGGAAGTTGCTCGTGAGTTCTCAGAAACAAAACCGTGAGAGCAGAGAGGGGGGCCCAAAGCAGAAAATATCATGCTACGGCGAAGCCGATTCCGGGATGTGACAATTTGGTATCAGAGCATTAGGTTTAACTTCCTGTAGACTCTGCACTCTATGTGCATCCCAGTTTTAATGAATTTATGTTTCTTGTGACAGAATCATGGGCCCTAAACGTGGTGGCACTCGTAGAGGGACAGGATCCCCAGCTCGAACCAAAGGAATTCCCAATTCTTGAACCGGCACTGTAACTGGTGGAACAGTCATTTGTTGGAGGCCCAGTAGGGGCTATACCGGTGATGCCCACCTTTCCGATTGACCCTAATTTCCAGCAAACACTGGAGCTATTGACCCAAGCTCTATCTAGGATTAGGCATTCTAGAGATCCATCCCTAAACTATGCTGATCAAGCTAGGAGAATTGGAGCCACATAATTTGATGGGGATGGTGACCTAGCCGTAGTAGAGGAGTGGATAGAGAATATGGAAAGAATCATGGAGGTAATGGATGTCCCACAGGAACGTAGAGTGGTCCTGGCTACCTTATTTTTGGCCAGGAATGCTAGATACTAGTGGGAGTCATTCAGGAGACGGTATCAGGATCCGTCAGCCATTACATGGCCAATTTTCATAGCAGCATTTGATGGGCAGTTCTATCCACTCGCTTATCAGAACATGAAAATGGAGGAGTTTCTTCAGTTGGAACAGGGTGTGATGACAGTATTGGAATACAAAAAGAAATTCAATGAATTGTCCAAGTACTATACTCCATTGGTAGCGAATGAAAGGAAAAAGTGTCAATTGTTCACCAGAGGGTTGAAAACATTCATATGTGACATCGTGATAGGACAACGGTTGACTAACTTTGGAGATCTGGTTATGTCTGCCTCGCTTATCGAGAGCAGTCAGATGATGGTTCGGGGATGGGTGATTCCCGTAGGCGACAGTATGACATGGGTGGTCCCAATCAGGGGTCATCCAAGAGGGGTAGTTTCAGCTCTGGATCATCCAGCGGCTGCAGCTATGGAGGTTTTCGAGCTGGAGTGAGTTTAAGTGGAGGGTCTAATAAGAGTGGTAGTTTTGGGAACTGTTCTGGAGGTGGTACAATTAGAGGTTCTGGGAGACAGCTACAACCAGTTGCCCTTAGTGCGCTTTGTGTGATAGGTACCATACCAGGCCTTGTCAGCAGGGTGCCACTAGGTGCTATCATTGTGGTCAGTCTGGGCATTTTCGGAGGGAGTGCCCGATGCTCCTCCAGGGCAGAGAAATTACTGCTAGGCCGACCCAGGGGACTGGTGTACAGGGCAGAGCACAGGGGACACCGCAGGGCCTCATCCAGCAGTGGGGCCCAGACCAGTATAGCTAGTAGAGGTGGCAGTCAGCAGTGGGGACGTGGTGGACGTTCCAGAGCTACAAGTAGAGTGTACAACATGTCACAGCAGGAGGCACAGGCGTTACCAGATGTGATCATAGATATGCTACCAATCTTTAGGATTCCTGCACGGGCACTGATTGACCCGAGGCTACACACTCTTTTGTTGCACATAGTTTTGCCCACAATGCGAATGTGAGACACACAGCTCTACGAAATAGGCTGGCAATTTCTATACCTACGGGAGATGTCTTTATGGTGGGTACAGTGTATAGGGGTAGTATGGTATTGGTAGGGGATGTACTGTTGGAGGCAGATTTGATTCCCCTGGATATGGTAGACTTCGATGTTATTCTGGGCATGGATTGGTTAGCCAAGCACCATGCCTTAGTAGATTGTTTTTGGAAGGAGGTCATATTCCGTAGTCCTGGATGACCTGAGTTGACTTTTCTCGGGCAGCGCATAGTTCTTCCATCTTGCCTCATTTCAGCCATGACGGCGAGACGGTTGCTTAGGAAGGGATGTTCTGGATATATGGCACACATAATTGATACCCGGGATAATGGATTGAGGTTGGAGGATATTCTAGTGGCACGGGAATTCCCAAATGTATTTCCAGAAGACCTTTCGGGATTACCTCCTCACCGGGAGATTGAGTTCACTATTGAGCTTGTTCCAGGAACAAATCCTATCTCCCAGGCGCCGTATAAAATGGCACCAGTTGAATTAAGGGAATTGAAGACTCAGTTGCAGGAGCTGCTGTTTAAGGGTTTCATCCGACCTAGTTTTTCTCCTTGGGGCGCACCAGTTCTATTCGTGAAGCAGAAGGATGGCACAATGAGGTTATGCATTGATTATAGACAGTTGAACAAGGTTATTGTGTGGAACAAGTACCCGTTGCCGCGTTTTGACGATTTGTTTGATCAGTTGAAAGGTGCCAAGGTATTCTCTAAGATTGACTTGAGATCAGGTTATCATCAGTTGAGGATCAAATAAGAGGATGTACCTAAGACGGCTTTTCGGACAAGATATGGTCATTATGAATTCTTGGTGATGCCGTTTGGGCTGACTAATGCGCCAAATGCTTTTATGGATCTCATGAACAGAGTGTTCCGACGTTACTTGGATCGCTTTGTATCGTCTCTTTGTGGAGGGTTTCTCTACTATAGTGGCACCTCTCACTCGTTTGACAAGAAAGGGAGTTAAATTCGAATGGTCAGATGAGTGTGAAGAGAGCTTTAATGAACTCAAAACCAGGTTGACCACTGCTCCGGTATTGATACTTCCGGACGGAAGTGGCAACTTTGTTATCTACAGTGATGCATCTCGACAAGGATTAGGTTGTGTGTTGATGCAACATGGTAGGGTAATCGCTTATGCTTCTAGGCAACTCAAGAAGCATGAGTTGAATTATCCTACATGTGATTTGGAACTTGCTGCTGTAGTGTTCGCTTTAAAGATTTGG